GAGCATATAGGTAGCCATGTGAGATTTGTGCCTGCTCGTTTCTTTCTTGTGCGATAGTTCCATCTTCCATGATGTGCAGCATTCACGTTGTCACTAGCTAAGATGATGGAGGCATAGGATTAGCCCACGACCAAATTGACTTTCCTGGTGTGTCATACCCCCTTGTCAGCCCCTTTGAGCCGTGTACTTTTCTTTCTTTCTGTCTACAATGGAAAATCACCCTTTTGCATCTCTTAGAAGGTTCCACGGAATGGTTTTTACATGTTCTCTGTTGTTTCTGCTAAATTTAATGTGAGGGTTGGAGGTAGTTCTTAAAAAGTTGGGTATTTCTTAAAAAGTTGGGCATGTATTTGAAAAATGTGCATAGGTGGGGGTTCTCTCAAGAAATGAAAAAAAGAAGAATGAAAGCAAAAGAGAGCCACCACCAAAAATCTTAATAGTGCCCATTAAGTAGTGTTTCTTAGCAGTCTGGCTTGGAAATACTAACATTTATGTGACCTCATTCGCTCTTGTGCTCTAGAGAATGTGAGTAATGCAGAATGGCAGAAAGAAAGTAAGTGGTTTGATTGACTGTGATTGTGTTGGTTTGGGAAATGTGGACCCTTGTGCTATTTATACTTCCACCACCTGAAAGGCCTTTTCTCCATGTCCAAGACCCTAGCCAGTCATCTAAACCTGTGTCTAAGACCTCCGGATTAGTTAGTGGTGACACCCCATAGGTGAACACTAACATTTAGAGGCTGCCTTCATGGTGAAGAGACGTTAGGGATTGAGAGAATAAGCATGCGCATTTTTCGCATCAAATTGTTCTGACCCACTGGTCGAGAGTGAGCGATTCATTTTCTCATATTCTCTATACTCTTTTACCCCGGTGAGGACCTAGATTGCTCGGTCTCAATTCTGATATCTTGAGTTTTGTGCATCGGTGATTGTCTTGGTCAAGTGGTTGAGTCAAGTCTATGTTGATTGGTGAACAGAAAGGATTCCTCTTCCTTTACCCGATTTTGATGCACTCGAATGTCCTCTGTGGTGGTTGTCTAGGTTGCTGTTGAGTTGTCCATTTCGCAATGATCAAAAGCCAGTATGATCCACGCGTTCTGTGCCTATATGATTTGTCCCCAATGTTGGTATGATTGAAATATGCTGAGCTTACCTCATATCTGACTTGGTTTGCTTGGGGACTAGCAAACGGTTAAGTGTGAGGGAATTTGATGACTTGATATATACACATGTTTTTGTCCACCATTCTTACATCGTTTGAGTCTCATTTCTCGTGTTTTAGGTCGATTTCACGCTAGGTTGTTCTTGTTTGTGATATTTCAGGTCCTAGTACGTGAATGAAGGTTTGGGAATGAGTTCGGGGTCGATTGGACGAAGATTGGATGTTTGGCGAGAAGCTGAGGAAGCCACACTGGTACGCCTAAAAACCCACACGACCGTGTGACCTGGCCGTGTGACACCAAATTGCACGTGCAAGCCACACTGGCCGTGTAGGGGACCCCTTGTGGCCATATGGAAAGTCCAGGGAGATCACACGGGCAGCCTGGAAAGCCACACGGCCGTGTGGTTTTGGCCATGTATCATACCTGAAGCCACTTAAGTGAAACGCGGCGTTTTGCACACTCACACGGGCAGCTGGGAAAGCCACACGGTCGTGTGGCCTGGCGGTGTGGTCGGGAATTTCTGGGTTTTAACCCAAATTCGAGCCAAAGGAGAGGGAATCAACTTTTTGGAGCAAAAACAGAGCCCTAGAGAGGGAAAGTGCGAAGAACACCCCCTAAGAAAGGTATTGGAGCTGGGTTTCATCAAATCGAGCTTGGAGATCATCACAGGAGTTATGACTGACATCCCAGAACGGATTCTTCCCATTGTTATGAGTATGACTGCTTTGTATTCTGTTTCCCTCTCTCTCTCTCTATGGAGTAGAACTCTCTCTAACTTGGGTATGAAGAACCCTAGTTCCATGTGTTAGGAATCTTGATTGTAATTACATTTGGATTGTGATATTGCTTGATTATAATCGATTGAAGTGTTTTGAATGAGCCAATTGAAGTCTGATCATCTTTTATTGATTTCTGCTGCAACCAGAGATAAATAGAATCTGATTAGATTGTTAGAGCTTCTTCAATCGATAGTAGTGAATCGATTATACGAGAGTTAGTCGATTCATTGCTTTGTACTGGAATCTAAATCCACTACTGGAGTTATGTGTTCATTGCCTCAGCGTTATATCCCGGTGAAGATTAATCGTCTGCCGGGTAGTTTTACTGAGAGGGCTTGGTCAGCTTAAGAGATTCTAAGCTACTGTCGGATCTTCGGCATTATAATCAGCAGTAAAGCAACCAAAAGTAATTACAACTGTGACCTAACTTGCGAGGGGGACTCATTCCCAAGTGACTCTTCCTTTGCTTCAGAAAACCGAACCATTTCCTGCTTTCTTACTGCTTTTAGTTAAAACCACAATCAATCGACTTAGTTGGCTAGATAATAGATATTCACGGAGTAGGCAGTAGATCTAGACCCCGGGTTGATAATTAGAACTTGCCATTTTACTGCATTTCCGGACTGCGATTACATTTGATCGCAGTTTGGTGTTGTGTTTTAGCGTGTCAAGGGGGATTACAAATTTGAGCTCAAGATCTTCTTCTTGTTCTTCTAGGCTTGAATCTTCCACTCAAACCTCCAATGATGCTCCAAGATCACTCTAACACTCTCTCTCTCACACTAGAACTCCCCTTTGGTGTTTTAGGTTGAAACCCTAGAGAAAGAAAATGTTTCTTCTCCAAAAACCAGCTCTCCTTTCTCTCTCCCCGCTGTTTTTTTCATATTTGCCCGAAAGTGACCAGTTCACGGGCGCGTTGGCCAGTTCACGGCCGTGAACACCTAAACGCGTCCGTGAACTCAGCGTCATCCGAAACGCACCGCTTCACTGTCTTGGGTTCACGGTCAATGGTCATAGTTAACGGTCTTAGAGACTGTGAACTTCCTTGTCGCCAGTAACTTCAGAAACCTCGTTGGACGCCTCGGTATTCACGATTTGTGTTCGAATTTCATGGTCTTAGGAGACCGTGAACTGCCTCGTCCGGGACTTCGGACTTTTCTTCGATTTTTGCAGTTTTTGACCTCCAATTATCCCAAAATTCGACCTTGACTCTTCCACACGTGCTAGGACCTGAAATGTATCAAAACAAGCACAACCTAGCGTGAAATATGTCGAGGAAAAATGAAATACTAAGCTAAACGAATAAGAAATGAGGGGTAAAATGTGTACATTTGGGCCTGAATCAACCGGCGTAGACCGTTAGTGTTTATCAAAAAATATAGTTAGCACTTATGTGGTTTGTGCCAGATTTGTCTAATTGAATAAGTTTAGTACACAAATGTCACACAACACATATAGTTTGTGCCATATTTGTCATATTGATTAGTTTAGAACACAAATGACACGTTTAGAATAGTTTGGGCTTCCTAGTGGAATTAGGCCTTAAATATAAATAGAATTCTCTATGTGAAATAGTTGTGAACTCTTTGAAGGAAATGTTAGATGCTCATGATATCTTGGCCCAAACATTTAGATACACAAAATAAAAATTCAATGAATACTATGCACAATATCTAAAGTTGAATCAATAATAAAATTGAAAGTTGAAACTGTTGGTCAATCCCAGATCAAATTGTCGAGAATATTATATCCAAACTGCTGCTAAATCACAACTCTTATTATTTGATATTATTGCTAATCCTAGCCAAACTCACACTAAATCTTGTCATCTTCTATTAGACGAGGCTCTGATAATAGATAATTAGGACAAATAAATATAAGTAGCAACTCAAACTCACTGAAAAAATAAAAAATAAGATAATACTATTATCACCTAATGGATTTTTCTCTTCCAAAATCCTTCAAACTTGAGGTTTTATAATTCTTGGAGTTCATAAATTTTTTAAAAAAGATAAATATATATTGACTAGAAGTAAGCAAATCTCATATTGTAACCAAACATGAACTTGAATCATAATCTAACAAATATGAGATTTTTGGATAAAAACTCAACCCAAATACTATCCCTGTAGTGTTATCCATGGTTGTCACGCGGTCGGCATGCCACCGGTTGAACCTGGTTCAATCGGTGCCGGTGATGAAATCGACATGATTGATCTATGAATTTCTAAGAAAATGGAGTCATTTTAGTGAATTTAAATATGAGTGCATGTAAGTATATTTGAAATATCACATTTCTCTTCATATATGGTTTATAAATGATTAAATTTATTTGACATTAATGGTTTTGTCATTTCTACATAAAATATTAACCGGCATGAACAAATCAGTTATACCAATGGCGAACCATTTCATTTGCTAAACGGGCGCAACGGTATAATCAATTTCACATTTGCCATCCCAATTGGGTCGTGGCAGCCTATATGATTCGCACACAATCCCAAATTCCCAATCAGTGGCGGAAAAACTGAAAATTGGAGGAAGGAGCCCACAACCTTTGTCCACGGTAGGCCCATGGGCCCATTATAACAATAGTATGCTATTCGGCCTTGATTAATCTTTGTTGACATCTTCACATGACGCGCGCCACGCCACGCCATATGTTTGATTCTTTGTGGCTCCAGATACTATAACAACACCTCTTTTGTTGTTATAGTAACAACAAGGGTAAAAGGGTCCATTAACACAATATCTAACAAATAAAAAAAAATAATATTCAGCTGCAGCGGTCTCTTGATCTCCTCCTCGCGTGTATCTTTCTTCCTCGTCGGCTCCTTCTCCTCCAATACTCTCCCCGGCGCCGACGCCGCCTAATCTGAACCTTCTAACCTCTCCACGTCGTCTCGTAAGAACAGCAACCGCTTTGCCTGTGGGTCACGACGGCGACCTTGCTGACGTGGAAGGCCTGGCGCTACACAAACCTCACGACTGACGACGGTGTTATTTCCCCACTATTCATATCTTTCTCCTCTCTGCACCGATCAGAAACCTCTTCTCAATGCCGGTATTCGTTTTCGCCGCCACCAAAAATGCAGTTACCGACTCCGACGCCGAAGGCCCCAATCCTCCTCTTTCAATCGTAGCCAAATCTTGCCTCGTTCTTTATTCTGCACTTTGGCCCACTACGGTACTCGAGAACATCAAGGATCTGGATTCTACCCAGCCCATATTCTCATCTTCGTCGGCACAGGCGGGATCAGAACATATTGTGAGCTTGAGTGTGGATATTAATGGCTCTGCCCTCTTTTGCTTTTGCTTTTCAGCTTGAGATTGATATGTATACCAACCGATCTGAACCCTACGTGCAAAAGATGACGCTAATTTCAGCAGTAGATGGAGAATTTTGATGTTGGAGAGGTCGCGCTGAAGCTGCGGGAGAGACCGCAACGAAGTGAGGGAGGAAGCAGTGGAGTAATGGCTAAAGTGAATTAGGATTCAAGTTTCTGAACTTGGAAGCAGAGGTTGGATTGCCCCTTTGTACAGGCGTGTCAATTGAATCATATATGACATGAGCATGGTCTGATTTTGTAGTCGACTTGCATGTGGTATTTTTTTGGGGATCTTTAGTTGGTTATGAGTTTGGTTGTGTGGTCATCTCCAAGAACAAAGTTGAGATGTCTGTTTATGTTGCAAAAAAGATAATTCCAGGTTGTAAAGTTCGTGAGATGGCTGGGTGGAGTCTTGTGATTGGATTGTGATGTAAGTTAGTTATTCAATTATGAGTCGTTCAATATGGAAGAGCTTTGTTACAATTATTGGTTTGTGATTCTAAATGGGGTAGTAGATTTGTAACGGTTTTGCATTCTTTTGTTAGTTATCATTTCATAAGCACACTAGAAACTTCCCAATACATACCATAAATCACATAAAACAAATCAGAAAAGTTAGAAAGCAAACCACAAATATTTTATAAGCATATCAGAAACCTCCTAATACAAACCACAAATGCGATTAAACAAACAACAAAAAGCATACCGAAAACCTCCTAAACGAGACCGCAGATGCTCTAAAACATACCAGAAACCTCACAAAGCAAACCACCGAATTTTCAAAAACACACTAGAAACCTCATAATGCAAACCACAAACACGATAAAGCAAACCATAAAAACAAACCAGAAACGTACTAATGCAAACCAAAAATATATTAAAACAAACCAGAAACCTCACAAAGCAAACCACAGAATTTTTAAAAATACACCAGTAACCTCCTAATGCAAACCACAAACACAGTAAATCAAACCACAAAAACAAACCAGAAACCTCCTAATGCATACCACAAATCTCCTAAAACAAACCACAAACCCCTCAATGCAAAAAACAAAATTTTTGAAAGCAAACCAGAAACCTCGCAATGCAAACCACAAACACGATAAAGCTAACTAGAAACTTCTTAATGCAAACCACAAACACGATAAAGCAAACCACAAAAGGCATACGAAAATATGAGAAACCAAACCATAAATCTCACAATGCAGACCATAACGTCTGGTGGTCGTTGACCGTTGATCGGTCAATGAAAACCATTGACCAAACTCCGATGACGGTCAGTGAACTGATTCCGGCGCCGATAGGCATATTCCGTCCCCGATGACTAGATTCTGACGCCGATAAGCATTTTCCGACCACAGTGAGCATATTCCGATGACATAAATAGCATATTCCGGCGACGAAAAGCATATTCCGGTGACTGGCGTCCAGATTCCGGGGACCGAATTTCGGCGACCAAAATTTTTGGACATAAAATATTTTTTTTTATATTACGAACATAGCCCTATAATCTAAATTATGAGATGAAAATTCCATTTTAATTCGCTTTTTTAGAGAGAATACGAAGTGAGGTGAAAAATATTTTTCATAATGACAATTATACTCCTGTTTTGATTTTACACTAGGTCAACTCATCTAATAAAAAGGCATCACAACTCTAGCTTCCTATTAGTTGGAGACTAGTGTTGTTACAATAACAACACAAAGGGTGTTGTCACACTATCTAGTGGGTGCGGATAGTATAACAACACCTTAAGTGTTGTTATAATAACAATAGGATTCATTACGGGAATAGGGTAATTTAACATAAAAAATAAAATAAAAATAAAATCTATTTAATCCTTCCCTTCCCCGATTAGGGATTCTCCTCCGCCTCCAGCCCCTCAACATCGATCCGGCTTTGGATCTGCCGATTTGATTGTTCTTCCCCTTCCCCGTGGGTGGCAGATCTAGGGTTGAGCTGGAATCGCTCTTGGTCCAGCAGCGCGGCGGAGTCAGCGTAGTGGAAATCGGGCGGTGGAGCAGCTAGGAAAGAGGCTCGATCCATGGGGTTTTTTTATTATCAAATTCCGATTGTTTTTTGCAACAGGAGGCAAGCTAGGTGCTGAAGCTGGAGCTGCAGGAGCAGGAGAAGCTGTTGGTTGTGGCTGTGGTGGTGGTGCCATGGCTTGTGGATATGGTGATTGCATCATCATGAAAGGAGCAGCAGGTGGCAAAACCTATTTTTTCCTTATGATAAGTTCAAAGTCCATTTGCTTCAGTTTCAGCTCTGCAATATCTCTCTTATCCACAAGCCTACACATTGTACCTCACATTAACTTACACAATTGCTTGCAGTGCAATGGGAACTTGTAATTAAACAGACAAGCAAGTTGACAGGGATTTACTTGACAAGGTCTGCTACTTGAGCCATGCACTCTGACACCGTCATCATCATGACCAACAGCAGCAGCTAAACTTGGAGCTCCGATTAGGCATTTGATTAGTTCCATGTCTTGGTATATAATTACAATCGTCGTTATAATTATCACATGCATTCACATGTACTGCTAGACAAGATCTCACATGTAACTATGTTAATGTTTCTTCTTCAGAGTTAATTGATAGATCACCCAGCATTGACAGAGTAAGTAAGCAATTAAAAAAAAATGGTTGTTTGTAGACGCCGAAAATCTCCTAGTGCAAACCACAAAAAATATACCGGAAACCTCCTAATGCAAACCACAAATTTGCTAAAACATATCACAAACCTCACAAAGCAAACCATAAATATTTTGAAAAACACACCAGAAACCCCCTAATGCAAACCACAAACACGGTAAAGCAAACCAAAAACGTCATAATGCAGACCACAAATATATTAAAACAAACCAGAAACCTTGCAAAGCAAACCAAAAAAGTTTCGAAGCACACCAGAAACTTCTTAATGCAAACCAGAAACCTCCAAATGCATACCACAAATCTCCTAAAACAAACCAGAAACCTCGCAAAGCAAACCACAAAAGTTTTGAAAGCACACCAGAAACTTCTTAATGCAAACTAGAAACCTTCTAATTCAGAACGTGGACGAAAAGCTGGGGAAACCACACGGCCAGACCTAAATGCCACACGGCAGTGTGACGTGGCCGTGTGGAACCCCTTTGCGCGGGCAAGCCACACTGGTCGTGTAAAGGATCCTTCGTGGCCCTGTGGAATTCCCAGGGAGCTCACACGGACAGGCCATAATTTCACACGGCCATGCGGTTCTGGTCGTGCAGCGTACATGAAGTCAGGTTTGTCACATTCACTTCGTCTGAATTTCTTCCATGTCCCTTAGCCACAATGGAGTTTGGGTTTCGCCCTGATCTTTGTATAGTGGTGGGGTGGTTTATACCCTTGCTCCATTAATGGTTATCAGCTGCTTTTACTAAGAACTAGTTGCTTGAAGTTTTCATTTGGTTGTTCAGAGAAATGGTTCATGCAGTATGCTGGGTGCATTTAGGGCTTTACCATCTAGATTTCGATAGTTTGTTGATTTCAAATTGTTAGCTAAACGGTTCCTTCTTGTTCGACAGACTTTCGTTAGCTTCCTCGAACAAAAATGGCAGAAGAGGAAGAGAAAGAAGGGGAAGAGACATGAGAAAAGAAGAAGAAGAAGAAGGCAGCTCAGACAGTCAGAAGCAGGAGCAGAGTGGGGAAGGCATAGTTTCCTTGCGGCCAGGGGCTCCAATCCTGGTAGTAGTTTTCATATAGGTAAAAATATATATTAGTGATAGACTAGGTGATTTAAATTAGAATACTAAGATTATTAGTACACATGTTTTCCATTAGTGTACGTACTACTAATTTGTTATTGTGTTTTCAACACAAGTTTAATAGTAAAAATTTTATTCTTTTCCCCAATTATTTTCAAAATAACAATTGAACCTAGTTAGAAGCTACCCTTATTCCCTCCATTCTATCATATCCATTAGTTTATTTGCTTCTCAAAGTTATTGACTTTACCGATTGCAACTGCAAGTGTTGAAATAACATTTTCAGTTTTGGTATACTTTAAGAACATGTTTCGAAATTGAATAAGCGATTAGTTCGTGAATGATTGTATAATAAGATAGAGATATTTGTTGAGCCCTGTAGACGCACACCAAATATTAGTGTTTTGGTTGACGAATTTTTACATAAATTCTAAATGGGACGTGACAGCGCCATAATTTATGATTAGAAAACCAAAGTATCACAAGTGCGTGTTCTAAATATTGGAAATTTTCAATATAAACATACTAAAAACTTTGTTATGAATAAGAACACAAAATAATTAAAAGATCCAAAATGATTTAATCATATAAATAAGTTAATTAATATAAATTATAAAATAAATCTCTCCGGTCAACGGGTCGAGTAAGAAACTAGTTTACCATAGAAAAGTGAAATCTTTGTTTAAAGAAATGCGTTGAAAAATGATAAATAGGTAGATCTCTCAACAAAATTCCTCGATTTTAAAACCTAAACAAAAGTGAACTCTTTGTTTTAGAACAAGTTAACCCTCTCTGTTCCTTCGCCTATCTCTAGTGGCCATTTTCTCCCCATACCTCCCAAGCACATAAGCCAAATCAACCAATCCAACCTCCCTCAACTTCTTCGCCGTCTCCAAGAACATAACAACTCCTTCCTCGTTGGAGAAGTAGTGGAGAAACTTGTTGTAATCAAATCTCGGAACTTCCATCCCGCCATTCAGTATCCTCTCAACATACTTGGTAGCTTCCAGCGACTTCCCAGCTTTCACCAACCCGCCAACGAAAATGGTGTCGAAGTTCACAGTGGAGTCGGGACCCTTCCGCCCTCTCTTCCCCAAGTGGCCTTGCAGCAGCATCACGTACGTATGCATTATGGGCTCGCAGCCTCTGTTTATCATCTCCCTGAAGACTTCTGTTGCTTCTCTGGGTCTTTTCGAGCTCAGCAGCCCTTTGATCAGTCCGTGGTAGATGGCTATGTCCGGTTTCTCGATCTGTTGCAGCACTCTCTGGGCCTCGTTCACTCGGCCTCTTGATGACAGCACGAAGAGAAGGGATCCCATCGTTGCGCAATCGGGTTGAATTCCTCTCTGCCGCATTTCGTCGAACAAGTTTTGTGCTTGGCTGAGCTTGCCCTTCTTGCAGAACCATGAAATGACGAGGTTGTAAGTCGAGAGTCCTAGTTCTTCCATCCTGTTAACTCGTAAGGTTTGGAACACTTTCACGGCTTCAGTGTCCTCGTTCTTTTTGAAGAACGTCTCGATCATTTTCTCGAACACTTGGATCTCCGGATCGAACCCATCCTCCTCCATTAAATTCCAGACCTTTGACGCTTCAATCATGTCACCGATGTCGCAGAATCCTTTAATCAGGCACCCGTAAGTGAACCCATCTGGGGGAATGGTGTCCTTAAGCTTCAAAGTCACGTACTTGGCCTCCTCCATGAGCCCATCTCGACACAGAGCCTCCACGACCTTGTTCAACCTCTGCAAGCTGTATTCAACCCCTGAATCATTCATCAAGTGGAAAAACTGCACGCACTTCTTCAGCTCCCTCGCGGAGGCCAGAGTTCTGAGAACAATCACGAACGTTCTGTCGCTCACCAACCCCAATTGGCCTGCCTGCTGAGCCGTTTCCCAGAGCAGATCCATGTTTCTCGCCTTGCCGTAGACATCGAGCATCTTATTGAAGGAGACGGAGGTGTGGGCGAAATTGTTATGTAGGGAAGGTGTTTGCTGAATGTACTGAAAGAAGCGGTGGACTGGACGCCAGGAGAAAGGGAATCTGTTGCACACTTGGAGGAAGAACTCGTGGGTAAGCTGGAAGTCGCAGGTAGAGAGCTTGGATTGGAGCTTGGAGTCTGGAAAGGTTTGTTGTTGAAAGAGGATCGTGCAGACTCGAATTAGGTGATCTGAGTTAACTGGCGTTGGTTGCAGCGACGGCGGCGGAGGTTGGTGTTGTAGGACTATTGATTCGTTGGTGAGGAGACGATGGAGGGAGGAGAAGACACGGTGGTGGAAGACCATCAGCAATGCACCTGCAAAAAAAAAAAGAGAAGATGAAGAATCAGTTAGTTAAAGCCCATAATGAGAGCCTAGTTTGACCCAAAACGGAGCCCAGTTCGGCCCAAAACTGAGTCCAGGTTCAGGACTAGACCAAGCCCATACTCAGGCCCGTAACTGCAGGCCCAACTCGGCCCGAAGCCAATTGGATAACCATATCCATAACAGGCCCTGACAAGTCAGAACCGACTTTAGTAGGTGGAGGCCTGAGATGCGGCCTTAAATTCGACCAATCAGAAAGAGGCAACACAATTTCAGCCCCAACAATGACCAATCAACAAATGACACGTGACTCGTCATTTTTACTATAAATGATCTATTTCAGCTCTTGTTTTGGAGGAGGGGGGAGGAGGAGAAAAAAAAAAAGAGTGGAGAAAAGAGGAAAAAAACAACACAGATTTCATCTTTCTTTCTTACACTATGTTTCCGAAGGAGGGGAGGAAAAGGGGGGGAGGTGAAGGAAAATTAGGAAGGGAGGTGAGATTTGGAGGTGAAAGAAATTGGAAGGAAAATGTTGTTTTATGGAGGAAAGTGGGAAGGAAAGTGTGTATTGGGAATTGTGATGAAGTTATTTTATTAGTTATATAATAGTAAAATAATTTGATTGTATGTTAATATTCTATTAACTTATGAATTGTGAGTTATATTTGTAATTCTTTTAAATCGCACCAGAGATTGTACCGGAAAAATTAGTGGCTGAATATTTTGTTCTAAAATCGTGATTTAACTACATCAATTATTTAAAAATATAAACTTTATAATAATTAATCAAACATTCTAAATCAATTAAAATTTATTCAAATTATATTATACAATGTTTAATAAAAATAACCTCAATTAAAATTTATTCAAATTATATTATACAATGTTTAAAAAAAATAACCGCGACTTTACTTTGCATGTATCATTTATCCATTTAGTAATTAGTATATATATATATATACCTGTTCAAAATAGCCCATACTTAATACTAATCCTAATTGAATATACTTAATAATTATCCCATAAAAAACAATACTTAATAATATTAAATAAAAAACTCTAACCAAAATCTCATTTGAGCCGCCAACTACCCACTTTTACAATGATGTAACAAATAAAGAAAGGAAAAGAGAGAGAGCAAAAGAGTGTGTGGAGGGGCATGTTGTACGGTGTTTCTTTCTTTCTCTTTCCTTCCCCGCTCCAATGGATTACGAAACCGGTACCGGACATCAAACCGGAATCGTTTTTGGCATGGTAAATCGTGGTACAACCATGGTTCAACCGTTTCCTACCGGTAAATACCGTTTTTGGAATAAAAAAATTATTTTTCTGTTAAAAAACCGTACCGATAAAATTAGGGTACCATACAGGGAAAATACCGGAATAATACCGGATTATACCGCCTAAGAAACTGTAAAAGAGTAAATAAGCGGGAACATTCAACAAAGTGGCATGTAAAACCTAAACGAGTATTGGTTTTGGGCATTCATTATCAAATAATTCTAGCCAAGATGGTAAAGGAGATCCTCATATGGAAGTTCAACTCTTACATGAAAGCTCAACTACGGAACATGATTAAAACACCAATTTATGCTATAAGGCACCCAATTGCAACCAAGACTCCGCGATTTAAGATCAACTAATCTATTGAGCCAGTAAATCATGAATACTGGAAACAAACATCACAACAGAACATGGAATCAGAGCAAGGAAATGGACAAGGCAATCAAACTACCAGCAAGGAGAAGGGAATTCGAATTCTGAAAATCTTCCCAACGAATACCCAGCAATTGAAGCGATTTTAGTATGGTGCATGAGAGGAAAAGGAAAGGGGGAAGAGCAGAAGTAAACTCCACCTTAAGGCGATGGTGATCCCGCTGACAGGGTTGTCCCACTGGCGGCACAAGAACGCAGGGTAGGAAATCCTTATCTCTTCCCTTGGCACGACGTCGACGGCGGAGACAACGAAGCTGGTACAGCTACACCACCACCGCCACTAGGGATTTGGAGCCGCGGGAGACGGAAGGAGGAAGAAACCAGCCAGTGAACGACCAACGAAGCTCCTCTTTCTCCTCCGGCACGGCGCGGCTGTGAACGACCAACGAAGCTCCTCTTTCTCGGTTTCTCCTCCGGCGCGGCGCGGCGCGGCTGTGAACGACGATGCCTTCGATTGCTGGGGAGGACGAGTTGCCGATGGTGTTTGGTTGCTGGGGAGGACGCGGTCGCCGGTGGTGTTGATCGCCGGTTGCTGGGGAGGCAGAGCGGCGCGGCGCGGGGAGACTAGAGGCAGAGCGGCGCTGCTGGGAGAGGGAGACGAGAGGCAGAGAGGGCGTTAGCAGGGCCAGCCAAAGGAAGGTAGGGTTTTTGCGTCTCTGCTTCCCTTGCCTTCCGTTTTTTTTTTTTCATTAAAACGGCGCCGTTTGTGTAAAATGAAGGGACCGCTGGGTTTTTTTAAACCGGCCGAAATTTCGGCCCATTGCGGTCCAACCGCAAATACCGCCCGGCAGGTTATTGAAGGGTACAAAGCTCTATTGTACCGGTTTACCTCCGGTTTCCGGTTTTTCCGGTTCGACCGGCCGGTCCGGTACGGTATCCTGGTCCTTGCTGTTTATTGTTTTGCAAACGGAGGAAAACTACTTGGAACCATGGTAAAGGAAACCGTACCGGAAGTCATACCGGCTCTGCCAGTGGTAGGGTATTTTGTGGTACTACCGTGGTTCAATCGTTGTGTACCGGCAAAATACCGTTTTTGTAATTAAATAATATTTTTTTGTTAAAAAACCGTACCGGCAGATTCGTGATACCGTTTCGGAATAATACCGGAATAAAACCGGAATATACCGGATAACAAACCTGAATAAACTAAATAAGCATATTTAATATAAAATTCAACAAACTGCAACATTACTGAATTAACTACATAATCGTTCAAATGCATGTTTAGGATCGAGTACAAAACAACCAAACAACATTTTTAAACCATCTACTTCAGTGACTAATTTGAAACAAAAAAAGGACATTGAAACAAAAAAACTTATAATCCTTATTTCACACATCTATTTCAGTGACTGGTTTCTTCAAAATCTACAAGTTCGACTACTAATTTGCTTGTGATCAAACTTCAATATGATCAAATAAAACAAGTGAGACAAAGGCTAGACTTCCTTTTAGATGTGCATCTGATGTAATGCACTTCACCAGTTGAAGCTGGCCTTCTAGAGAGAACTCTCGGAAGGGTGGGCAAAGCAGAGAGGGAGAAATGAAAAAGAAAACCCAAAGGTGAAACCATTAAACAAAATGCTTACCTGCTGCTGTGAATTCCTTTCTCTATTATTGGCTAAACACTATTTCAGGAGATGGAGTTAGCTTGCAGTATTTCATATTTTGTGCCTACACAAAAATTTAGCAAAGAACCCTCTTAAAAAGAAGTAACGAGGAGGTAGCAATAGAGAATTACAGCAAGTTGTTCATCCATGTAGACTGTAGTAGCGAAAATAACAACAAAGAGGTAAGCTGAATTACTTGGCATAATGGACAGAGATGGCCGCAAGATAGTAGTTGTGAGTCCATTTAGGTGATGTGATATGATATGCTACCTTCCATAGCTGCACATGCTTCACCGTGAACTGTTGTTTATCTGAGTCTGTAGAGAACCAGAAACACAATCAGAATAGATTGCAAAGGAATGTCAAGATTGGACTAATAGCTGCACAAAACTGTTATTTATGGGCTACCAGTTATCACAGTAGCAACTGCAGTCCCCCCTATGCCAAAATTGCAAAGGAATATCAAGATTGGATCTAGGATTGCATTCAGCAAGTTGCCAAAACCAGCATAGTCAGTACATACAACCACAACCGATCAACTTGCTAAATTGAAACATCCAATCAATTGAAACACAACTTCACAATCACACCATGCAAACACAAAAGAAACCCTCTTAATTCCCTTCAGTCTCCATTGTTCTGCTCCGTCTCTTCTTTGGCCTATATTCATTCCAATTTTGCGATTCATTCAAAGATGGGGGAAGATGTTCGCCGTCCAACCATACCTGCTGCCGCCGTGTCTTCTTGAGCAAGGGGGGAGTCGCGTGCCGGTGCCGGAGACGCGTGCCAGAGCAGCGGCGGAGTAGTGGCGGAACAGAGGCGGAGCAGCCTTGAGCAGGGGAGGGAGTCGCGTGCCGGTCGCCGCCTCGCCGGTCGAGAAGAGGGAGGATCGCCGGGCCCTGGGTCGCCGCTCGAGAAGAATACGCCGGTCGGGAAGAGGAGGGAGGATCGCCGGGCTGGTCGTCGCTCGAAATGAAGTGGGAGGTCGCCAGCAGCAGCAAACGAAGGAGGACGAAGCGGCGAGAAGATTTAGGGTTTTGCTTTTGAGGCTTCGGCCGATTTTTTTTTCCCTTTACCACAAAACGACGCCGTGTCGTTCCAGTTAGCTGACCCCCGGTCAGACCAAAACCGGGCGGCTTTCTGAGTTGAACCGGTTTTACCGGTAAAACCGGCCGGGACGACTTCTTCACCACAAACCGCTTGTCGTATCGGCCAGACTCCGATTTCCGGTTTTACCGGTTCAACCGGCCGGTACGATCCGGTTTCCTTTACCATGCTTGGAACCCCAACTCCTCTCCCCTCCTTTTCCATCCTAAAAAAACAGAGTGTTAGAGAATCCATATATAGACATCTTTCATTTTCGTTTTACAAGCAAGGTGGGCGACCCAGAGGCAAAAGCAAAGGATCCTGAGGTCCAAGGTTAGAGATTTGTACTCTTTCATCTATTTCGATAATAATACAAGTAGAACCATTTACGATCAATCACTTGCCCAGATCCTTTTAGTTACTATTGTCTCTATCATAGTAGTTTCTTTCATCTATTGTCTCTATCATACTATTGTGCTCACCAATTACTATTGCTCTTTAGGTTAGCAATTATTTATTTATTGACTATACTGGCTTAGCATACATCATTACTCCGCCCTTTTTTACAAGCAATTATTATAGCCAAATTTTCCTAGTTTTAATTTCCCTTCTTACTATATAGTCGGATAACCACAATATTGTCATACATAAACAAATTTAAGTAGTACAAATAGATAAAGTTTTGATCTCTTTAAATCCAGATCCAGATCCAACAGAAACACCATAAACACACTAAAACTTCAGATTTCAAACCCATAAATCAAACATAGCCGAATAGAAATAGAAGCTAAAGTACAGTTCATAATAACATCATAAACCCAAAATTTTTAGATTCAAGAACTCCTGCCAATTCTTTTAAATCACCCAAAACTTTAATATGACTAAATCGCACAGCAGTAGCAGTGATGTAGAGTCGAGGGTGGCTGTTACTATTTGCATTACAAAAATTAATTTCTTTTACTACTTAGGTTAGGCGAGAGAAAGATATTTAAGTTTCAAGCTTTAAACTTAATGTAACCAAAATCGCATACATCATCAAAAGCACACAGGTATAGTTTTTTTTGTTAAAAACTAGTCTAATTTTTAGATTTTGACCTATCAGATCCAAAACCCAGGATCTGCTGAAACCAAATCCAGATTAGCAAGCAATAAAAGACCACTCATTAAAGCATAAAACGCCAAGACCATCTTCCATAAACTCGCATCTACAAACAAATTATTTTTTTTAGTTTAACCTTCCTAGTTAAACTATTCAGAGTTAGGAGACCTCACCAAAATCTCTAGGTATTAGATCTGTAAAAAATTAAAGAATAAAGGATCAGAACAAACCCAAATCGAAGTAAACGAAAATTGAACAGGAAAGCAAACCCATAAAGGACTTACCCCAAACAAAACCCTCGCCGTCGGCGACCGCCGCCCTTCCCTTCCTTCCCTCGGCGGAAGGAGGAAATCAATAACACAAAAAACAAGTCAAATCCCAATCTTGTTTGTTAAATCGAATAAAAAAGGACATGCATGTAAAATGGAGCTTACCAGAGGGTAAAACCTCCTCGTCGTCACCTCTGTTCCAACTAGAAGGGGTAGAACGAGATTATTAGAAGGTAAATCGAGACCCCTCCTCGGTTTTAGATCGATCTCCGAAAGAAAAACAAGAAAAGGGTTAGAATCTCGCTCAAAAACCCAGAAATAAAAAAAAAACAAACTTGCATGCAATAATCTTACCTAGATCGAAGGTCTCCCGCTCGATTTTTTTTAAGCAACCTTCGTCATATCGACAGCGGCTTTGAGCGAGGCTAGGGTTTAGGTTTTCTCTGAGCGAGAGAGAGAGATGAGGGACGAGAGGAGAGAGCGGCGGCGGTTTTGGATCAGGGTTAGGGTTTGTTGGTCTCTGGCCGAGAGAGAGAGAGAGAGAGAGAGAGAGAGAGAGAGAGAGAGAGAGAGAGAGGGACGAGAGTTTGAGCGGCGGCCGCTAGGTCAAATAGTATAGGGTCTGATTTTATGCTGTAATAGACTATATATACCTCAAGTTTTAAAATGACCAAAATGTTCCTAGGAGTTCCGGCTATTTACGCGGCCCTGCCACCGCGTTTTCGTGAAATTACTAAAATGCCCTTCCCCCTTCTGTACATCAAAACGAGAAATAAAAACAATTTCTCCACCAGCGCGTTTCGAACCCACGTCCTCCGCGTCTAACGAGAGCTTGGTCTGGCGTTTTAGCCAGTTGGGCTGCTGTTTAGATCAATACTGAAAGAAACACAAGTGGAAATTGGAAACTCGATCTCTACCTCTGCTGAAGCAACTTCACTTTTTCAAGCATGGCAATTATTTCAGAGTCCTGTAAGAACTGTCCAGCGAGGATTAAAAATGTCCCATTTCTCTTCAAGAAGGGTTTATCTCCATAATATACATTTAACCAAACATGATTTGGGCCTACAAAATCCATTTTGAAACCATATCAATGACATCATCTATCAACTAGCCAAGTGGACCTGAATCCATGCGTAAAACTAAAACTTGCACATAAGCAATCTAAACTTGGGCAACAACCTGCATGCTCATCGGCAATGGATCGAACAAAGGAGACTACGTCATCATCTGCTGCAGGGGTAGGAATACTAGTAGATGCTTCTTCTGATGTTGTCGAGTACCTGGAGATCACTGCCATTCACAAGTCAGGCAAAGTACGTAAAGAAAACACAGTGGTCTCAAACAAAAGAGCTTACAGAATGTCCCATTCCGCTGAGCAATTACCTCTGAGAATAAGAGAAGTTCCACCAAAGTATTCCTGGGTAGTTGGTGGTTCTAAGAAATGAACGAAATGGGGCGACTGAAGTGGAGACAGAGTAACCTCTTCTGGCTTCTCCGCTCTGCCCTAAGTATATTCCTAGCAAAAAAAGTTACGTAATTGAAGTTCATAAATTTGACCAGTAGGGATAGCTATCGAAACAACAAAGGAATTCCACCAAGGAAAAATGGGCTAACCAGAAGAAATGCGCCGGGAAAACCTTAAAAGTTGTCTCAAGCTTCTACATATCTGCATCATTTCGCCTTCTTTTGGTTTCGTTCCGCTCGTGTTCTTCCCGCGTCAGCCAGATAGTTACTTAGTAGAGAGCTTGAGATGGAGTTAGGATGCGAAACTGAAAGGCGACAAGGGTTTGAGGAAGAAGAAGCATTGGCGGGGATGGAAGGGCGAGTTCTTAGAGAGTCGCGGTGGCGTGCGATGGCGGCCGGAAAATGTGTTTAGTTATTTCCTACTGTTTTCTGGTAATTGATTATCACAATTTTTTCATTGAGTATCATACAATTCTAATCATAATTATAATTTTTAATATGAATGAAATTGTTTTCAAAGTACTAATAAACACAATACAAGTATAACATCATATGTCGAATAAGTTCCTTTATTGCCCTCATTGCACTTCATTGACATTCTCTTTCATGCAATAATCTCGATACTCTTCAAATAAAGTATCGTAATTGAAGTATTGTTTTCCACCTCATTACCATCCATTGCTTATCAAACTACAATTCAAACAACAAAGGCATCTACATATCCCAACCAAACCGTTTTCCACCTCATTACCATCCATTGCTTATCAAACTACAATTCAAACAACAAAGGCATCTACATATCCCAACCAAACCCACCGCCCAAAAAAGGACTCCAGATACACCAATCACCCAGGCTGATCTAAACCCACCCTTCCCATTAGTCACAGAAACTGCTCTAAGTGCCAAAATCACCACTTACTTTCAGTTGCTCATCAGTAGTCGGATCTTAGTCCTCAAATCGACAATTATTGCTCTAAGTGGATTTGTAACAACTCAACTAATTAACAAGAAACAACCTCAGATCACACAGTTCATCAATTGCCAAACAGATTACAAACAAACAAAAGGGCATACAATTCACAAAAGGGCAAACAAATTGCCAGTTCTAACACGTCTTTCACACACTTCACCGCTAGCTAATTTAACCACCACAATCAGCAAATTTGACGAACACATGAGGAGATAATTGACATCCGAGCTAGCTAATTAAACCACCAAAAACTTCAACGATGGCCCAAAGCTTGGCGGATGACATCAGAATCAGTTATCATATCATAGACACATGAATCAAACATGGAAATGGGTAGACTTTCAAGAGAACCAAACAGGGGAGCAAGTAAATCTTTGTGGAGAAGGAAATCTTTCATGGAGGCAATATGTTCTGTTCCTACACAAGGCAAAGTTGGAAGCGGACTAACCTCAAGCAGAGGAGATCGTCGATGCTGCTGGGGAGCAGGAAGGCCGCCTGTTTCGACGCTGCTGGAGGAGAGGATTCGTCCGATGGAGAGGCTCGAACGAATCGTCGGGCGGAGGAGGGAGATGGCGACCGGCTGTAGGTTCTCTTCGACGGTGGAGAATCGCGTCGCTGCAGCTTGATTTCGCCGACTGGAGGAAGGATTCGCCTTCGCTGCTTCCCGTTGCAGACGCGGTCGTCGCTGCTGCTTCTCTTCTCACTCAGGCGCGGGAGAGGGATCGAGTTTAGCTGCTCGTAGGGTTTTATTTTTAGTGGGCAAAACGGCGGCATTTAGGAAAAGAGGAGATAAGTAAAAAAAGTAGTCGCTGGCAGGGATCGAACAAACGACCTCATTAATCAGCAGTATCCATTTTCCGCTAGGAAACAGGGAATAACCCGTCCCATTATTTCCAGGAAACAACTTTTAATGGTTTCCTTCTAGCTTCCTCATTTATGCCAAATGAATTTTTCCAACGAAAACGAAACTACAAGTGAACACGTTTGTTATCATTTGTTTCTTGATTTTCATTTTTACAATAGAAAACAGAAAACAAAATGGGAAGTGAACGGGGCGCAAAGGAAGTCCAAAGAAAAACCAGCGCCAAACAGGGAGAGAACGAAAGCAAAGAAGGAAGCTTGGAAGGCCGTAGTAAGCCCAGACTGCTTTGTCAAAGTTGGCCTGGTCCGTTTAATTAAATTCATAAAAGAAAAAACCACAAGATACGACGTCGTTTCCATCTCTATGGTCGGTTAATCAAAATCCCGAATTAGGGTAAGAAAAAGCAAAATATCTTTCAAAGAGCTGCTGAAACAGTCGGTCGGAAGATATACCGCTGAAATCTGCTGAGAACAGGAGCAATTTCCGGTACAAATTATCAGGGAGAGGTTTTGGACGAGCTCGTCGCCGGCAAATCCAAGCGCGAAATCTTGAGTGAACAAGGCGCTTGAAGGGAGAAGGAGACGTAGAGAAACAAGTCAGCGAAGGAGGCACAACTGAGAAGGGAGTCGCGACAGCGTGCGAGGGCGGCCGAAGAGCGGAGTCGGAGATTCCAACTTTGTCCTCGATTCATCCTTATTTTTTGCCCGCGGCGGAAGAAATTCCTCACCCGGAGCTTAAAACTGAGGACCAGCAGGCTGTAATCGTGTGCTAATAAGTGGAAGAAGAAAGACCTAGTGGCTGGCCATTGCAAGGTTAGTCCATTCGTTGCTATCTTCACTATTGAACGCTTTGACTTCATTTCTTTCATTCTTTTAATTAAATTTCTGCTTCTGACTATAGTTTGCTAGTTATCAGTGTTCTGTTACCTCTTTTTTTTTCTTAATGAATTACTGCTAAGTTTTATTCATCGAAAGGGAGTTCATCCATAAGTAATGGACTTGCTCCAATGATAAAGTACAATAAAGGTGGCTGAAGGTACATATGCAAACACTAGAAACAAGTTGTTATGGTGGCTCAAATGGGTTTTGGCTTGTGCCATACAACATCAAATGTAGGGATTGAAGTTCTTGTTGAGATAGTTTGTTGCTACTATCCAACCATGAGCAAATGATGTAGTTGATTATGTTGGATAGAGTGGCGCTGCTTGTGTAGTGATCACGACTCACGAGAAAGTCTAGCATTCCACTCAGTCCATAATAACCAAAACACTGCATGTGGAAGTGGCCAGAAAGCATTTGACAATCTGCAACCTTTAGTGACGTTTGACCATTGAACTAGTAGCTCGCTGCAACTACGAGGTAGAGGGCCAGCAAGATTGAGTCGAAAGAGAGAGAAGTTCCGTACCCTGGAAGAGTAGCTGCAGGGGAGAAGTAAGTGGTCTGCTGCCTCTTCTGAAGCAAATCAAAGACAACAATGATTGAGGAGAATCCACCCTCGTAATCGAAATTGAACGGTTGTCAGGATTTTTCTCCGAAAGCCAACCAACTGAAAATTGTGACTTTGGAGGGTACCATCGGCTGCCAATGGATTTTGCTGGGAATGACGATCCAAGGCCAGGAAAGAGATCTCGAGTCAATTCCTTATAGCAGAGGCTGAGAAGGCATCCTCCTGCAAAGTGGATTACCTTCGAATCGTATTTGCCTTTGTAATATTGGCTTCTAACTGAATGTTCCTGTTTTTTCCATTGAAAGTGATTTCAGAGAGGGAATTATATTTTCCATTTTGATTATCTTTCCTGTGAAATTGAACTATGGAGGCGTTAAGCTGTTGAGATTAATTAGGTTTCTCGGGAGCTCCATGTTTAGTTTTTTTTTTTGTGGATAGACTTGTGATTTATTAGGGTTGGCAGTGTTATAATTGTGCTTAATGATGTTTTGCAGAGGACAGGCTTCGGTGAAGCTGTGATCTTTTGCCCATTAATCCGGCAATGGCAGATTCAGGAGAATCTCAACAGCCTGAACAAGGTATTGATGCTCACTCTTGAACCGTAGTTTCTGCTTTGATTTGCTTTGTTCACATTTTCTTGGGTTCTTATGATACATCTTTTCGCCTTCTGCTGTTCTGTAGTATGCAGCTTTTTCAGAAAGCCAACTAAGGGGAAGAACATCAGGAAGAGAGCAGTAGAAGACGATGATGCCGAGGATCCAAAAACCGACAGCTCTTTCTTAAACAATCAGAAGAAGGTGCCAAAGTCTGATAACAAGCTATACTTCTCGACAGGACCTTCCAAGAGCTCAAAGCCATCTGATTCCAACTCGGACAACAATGAGAAATCCATCTTTCAGTTTCAGTCTTCAAAGGAAATTCAGGTACAAAATGACAGTAGGGCAACAGCAACTCTGGAAACCGAGACAGACTTTGGAAGAGATGCAAGGGCAATACGTGAAAGAGCTCTTAAGAAAGCAGAGGAGGATCCAAAGGGTAACAAACAGATTTCTTCAGGCGGCAATGAGAAGCTGTACAAAGGAATTCATGGGTATATAGATCACAAAGCTGGATTTAGAAGAGAGCTAACAATAGCAAGTGAGAAAGCTGGTGGATCACATGGGCCACTTAGGGCATCTGCACACATCAGGGTCTCAGCAAGGTTTGATTATCAGCCGGATATATGTAAAGATTACAAAGAGACCGGTTACCGTGGTTATGGAGATTCTTGCAAGTTTATGCATGATCGAGGGGATTACAAGTCTGGATGGCAAAGGGAGAATGAGTGGGATGAGGCAGAGAAGGCAAGGAAGAGGAAATTAGCTATGGGTGCGTTGGCCAAGGAGGAAGGTGAATTTGATGAAGCCAATGATGATGACGACGATGATGACGAGGAAGCCCTGCCATTTGCATGTTTCATTTGTAGGGAGCCTTTTGAAGATCCTGTTGTGACCAAGTGCAAGCATTAATTCTGTGAACATTGTGCTCTAAAGGTACCTACCTACTCATCTCTTAGAAATTTAGAATCATGATCATCAATTCTTTTGCCAAGTTCTATGTTTAGCTTGCAATTTTGTAACGTGAGTAACATTCACTTATTGTGTTTTCTTCTGTCTTTTTCTTGCAGCATCATTCCAAGAACAAGAAATGCTTCGTCTGCAACAAGCCGACGCTGGGTATTTTCAACACTGCTCATGAAATACGCAAGAGGATGGCAGAGGCGAACAAAAGATCATGCTGGCTTGCTGCAGATGCTGTATCGGCTGATCATTTTTTGAGTCCCTGACACGGGCTGTTGCATCTTCCCGGCTCATGACACTTCGAGCAATTTCATTTTAAGAGAGTTATTAGTGATCTAGTATGACACCATCGCATTGCGAGTATACCATGTAATCAAAAAGTTGATCTGCAGGCGTCTGGAGTCTTGATTTGCTTGTATTTTGTAGACAGTTCTTTTCATGTCTACACTGATACTATTGCGAATTTCATCCTCCAATTAAATTTCAACCCAATAGGTGCATGAAAGATCTTAAGGGGTTGTTTGGATTAGGAAATGTGGGTAGGGATTTTGCCACAATTTCTTGTCATTAGGGATTTTGTCACAATTCTTTGTTTGGATAGGAAAATGAAAATGAGGGATTTGAGTCACTAGGAATTTCGAAAATCCTATCATTAGAGAATTTAAAATAGCTGATGGACCTCAGATTTTTTGAAATCTCTTGCCTATTTTTTTCCAACCTTCCTGATTTATCCCTCCTTATTTTTTGGTATTACTTTCTTACCCTCACTCTTTATTCAACGACCCACCACTTCCAATTGTCTAGAACCAGAAGTTTGCACAGGCCTACCATACTTTGTGTTTTAATTAACTGTTAATATTGGGGGTCGTGGAGATTCGAACACACGACCACTTGGTCAAACCAGCTCTGATACCATGTCAAAACCAGTTGCTCCCAATAACTCGAGTTGTTGCGAGAAAGTTCTGTTGGATCTTATACCACTCTCTAACACCAATCTCTCTTTCCCATTTACATCTCTTTCTTCCCTCCCGATACGAGAAGCTGCAAGGAGAGTTTCAACCTCACATCATTGGCGACTGTAGCGGAGATAAACCTAGCGACGTCGGCAACTGCAGCAGAGTTTTACCAGCTCCGATCTACACCGACGTTGACGGTCGTCTTGAAGTCCGTCCGATCTCCATTTTCGATCTCGCCAGCTTTGCGTGGGATTTGTGCTTCGGACTCAACCAACTGAAGCTTGGAATCAGTTTAGGACTGATTTGGTCTCAGAGATGTGGCAAACTCGACCTGCTAGATTTCGAGCTTCGTCTTGAGTTTGATTCATTGTTGTTTGGCTGTATTCATTAAATATTGAGGACTTGTTCAGTTGTAATGGTTAATACATGTTCAGTTGTAATTCAAGGTAGTTGTTTTGACAAGTAGACAAAATTGGGATCCCCTCTTTGCCCCTCCTTTTTTGTGTTAGTGTTTTCACTTCTGAAATATTACTACTACTCAGTTTTGGATTGTGAAAGAAGTTGAAAGTTTTAGATGAATCCCATGAATTTATCTGAATATTGGATCATGGCATAATAGCTTTTCTGTGGTTTTAAACTTGCTGCTTAATTTGAATGGAGGCTGTGTTCGGCGCAGTTGGGTTGTTATTTAATGAATGCCTATTTGGTCGCAGACTCGCAGTGTTTGATCCGTCTATGGACCAACTTTTGCTTTTTGTCAATGATTCTCATGGCTAGTAGTAGTCTCAATGATTGATTTTTGCTTTGCTGGGTGCAGACCTGTTAGTATGAGCAGCAAGTTCCTCTCGACATGATCGAAACAGAATTCGGGACTTATCTAAGCTCGTACCAAGTACTAAGTATATTGTTTGCTGGCTTTAGTTGGGCATTAAGAAACACCTAGGTAAGCCACAAGGATAAGCTCATGCACACGCAGGGTAAGATATGTATGCAAATTGCAAAGCCCTATAAGCAGTGATCATTTGTTTCCCTCCTTTTCAATGTCCGTTTAAGATGCCTGCTTTATTGTAGTCTAGTTGAAGCTGATATTGATTTAGTTTTTTATCTTGTTTCCATTTGTAATGAATACAATGTTCTATTCATAGATTGGTTGTATTATGTGTGTTTAATGGTACTTATCTATAGCAGTACGAAACTAGAGTTGTTTATATTGTTCTCTTTGTACTTATCTAGGCTAAGACATGAATATCCTCTTTTGTATTGTTCTGTTTTGCAGCATGGGAAAGTGAAAGCAACGTGATGAAGATATGGATGGTGCTTGCTCTAAGAAATATACGTACTGGAAAGAGGAACTAGGAAAGCCATTTGTTGACTGTATTCTGGAGCTAGTATAGAAGGGGCAAATCGTTGACGCCAACTGCAATAATGGGGCTTATAACCAGTTAAAGAAACTGTTGCAGGAAAAAGTGTCGGGGTGCAGGGTCAAGGCATATCCTAACATTGAAGGCAGGTTCAAAAAACTGAAAAAGAGATGGCATGCAATAACATTTATGAGGAAACAAAGTGGTTGGGGATGGGACGAGGTCAATAAATGCATTGTATGTCCCGAGGGATCTTGGGATGATTTTGCGAACGTAAATGATGACTTGATATATACACGTGTTTTTGTCCATCATTCCTATACCGTTTGAATCACATCTCTCGTGTTTTAGGCCGATTTCACGCTAGGTTGTTCTTGTTTGTGATATTTCAGGTCTTAGCACGTGAAGGAAGGTTTGGGCATGAGTTCTGGGCCGATTGGACGAAGTTAGAACGTGGACGAAAAGCTGGGGAAACCACACGGCCAGACCTAAATGCCACACGGCAGTGTGACGTGGCCGTGTGGAACCCCTTTGCGTGGGCGAGCCACACTGGTCGTGTAAAGGATCCTTCGTGGCCCTGTGGAATTCCCAGGGAGCTCACACGGACAGGCCATAATTTCACACGACCGTGCGGTTCTGGTCGTGCAGCGTACATGAAGTCAGGTTTGTCACATTCACTTCGTCTAAATTTCTTCCATGTCCCTTAGCCACAATGGAGTTTGAGTTTCGCCCTGATCTTTGTATAGTGGTGGGGTGGTTTATACCCTTGCTCCATTAATGGTTATCAGCTGCTTTTACTAAGAACTAGTTGCTTGAAGTTTTCATTTGGTTGTTCAGAGAAATGGTTCATGCAGTATGCTGGTTGCATTTAGGGCTTTACCATCTAGATTTCGATAGTTTTCTGATTTCAAATTGTTAGCTAAACGGTTCCTTCTTGTTCGACAGACTTTCGTTAGCTTCCTTGAACAAAAATGGCAGAAGAGGAAGAGAAAGAAGGGGAAGAGACATGAGAGAAGAATAAGAAGAAGAAGAAGAAGAAGAAGAAGAAGAAGAAGAAGAAGAGAGAAGAAGAAGAAGAAGGCAGCTCAGACAGTCAGAAGCAGGAGCAGAGTGGGGAAGGCATAGTTTCCTTGCGGCTAGGGGCTCCAATCCTGGTAGTAGTTTTCATATAGGTAAAAATATATATTAGTGATAGACTAGGTGATTTAAATTAGAATACTAAGATTATTAGTACACATGTTTTCCATTAGTGTACGTACGACTAATTTGTTATTGTGTTTTCAACACAAGTTTAATAGTAAAAATTTTATTCTTTTCCCCAATTATTTTCAAAATAACAATTGAACCTAATTACAAGCTACCCTTATTCCCTCCATTCTATCATATCCATTGGTTTATTTGCTTCTCAAAGTTATTGATTTTACCGATTGCAACTGCAAGTGTTGAAATAACATTATCAGTTTTGGTATACTTTAAGAACATGTTTCGAAATTGAATAAGCGATTAGTTCGTGAATGATTGTTTACATAAATTATAAATGGGACGTGACAGCGCCATAATTATGATTAGAAAACCAAAGTATCACAAGTGAGTATTCTAAATATTGGAAATTTTCAATATAAACATACTAAAAACTTTGTTATGAATAAGAACACAAAATAATTAAAAGATCCAAAATGATTTAATCATATAAATAAGTTAATTAATATAAATTATAAAATAAATCTCTCCGGTCAACGGGTCGAGTAAGAAACTAGTTTACCATAGAAAAGTGAAATCTTTGTTTAAAGAAATGCGTTGAAAAATGATAAATAGGTAGATCTCTCAACAAAATTCCTCGATTTTAAAACCTAAACAAAAGTGAACTCTTTGTTTTAGAACAAGTTAACCCTCTCTGTTCCTTTGCCTATCTCTAGTGGCCATTTTCTCCCCATACCTCCAAAGCACATCAGCCAAATCAACCAATCCAACCTCCCTCAACTTCTTCGCCGTCTCCAAGAACAGAACAACTCCTTCCTCGTTGGAGAAGTAGTGGAGAAACTTGTTGTAATCAAACCTCGGAACTTCCATCCCGCCATTCAGTATCCTCTCAACATACTTGGTAGCTTCCAGCGACTTCCCAGCTTTCACCAACCCGCCAACGAAAATGGTGTCGAAGTTCACAGTGGAGTCGGGACCCTTCCGCCCTCTCTTCCCCAAGTGGCCTTGCAGCAGCATCACGTACGTATGCATTATGGGCTCACAGCCTCTGTTTATCATCTCCCTGAAGACTTCTGTTGCTTCTCTGGGTCTTTTCGAGCTCAGCAGCCCTTTGATCAGTCCGTGGTAGATGGCTATGTCCGGTTTCTCGATCTGTTGCAGCACTCTCTGGGCCTCGTTCACTTGGCCTCTTGATGACATCCCGAAGAGAAGGGATCCCAACGTTGCGCAATCGGGTTGAATTCCTCTCTGCCGCATTTCGTCGAACAGTTGTTGTGCTTGGCTGAGCTTGCCCTTCTTGCAGAACCATGAAATGACGAGGTTGTAAGTCGAGAGTCCTAGTTCTTCCATCCTGTTAACTCGTAGGGTTTGGAACACTTTCACGGCTTCAGTGTCCTCTTTCTTTTTGAAGAACGTCTTCATCATTTTCTCGAACACTTGGATCTCCGGATCGAACCCATCCTCCACCATTAAATTCCAGACCTTTGACGCTTCAATCATGTCACCGATGTCGCAAAATCCTTTAATCAGGCACCCGTAAGTGAACCCATCTGGGGGAATGGTGTCGTTAAGCTTCAAAGTCACGTACTTGGCCTCCTCCATGAGCACATCTCGACACAGAGCCTCCACGACCTTGTTCAACCTCCACAAGCTGTATTCAACCCCTGAATCATTCATCAGGTGGAAAAACTGCACGCACTTCTTCAGCTCCCTCGTGGAGGGGTCAAGCCTCTGTCTTTATGGTCTTTGTATCCTCCCACAACTGTTGTAGTAGTTTGTGAGACCGCTCACTTGCTGTTGTCGGTTCTGTCCTTTTGGCTTTATCTTGTTTGGCGGGCACTCCTAGTGAAACAGAGCTTCTGTTGTTTCTTTTGTAAGACCATGTGTTCTCTGATTTTATGCAATTATCACAATGGTAAAAGGAAAAACTAGTTCCCTGCCTTGTGGTGCGAATGTAATTTGCTTGTCGTTGATCTCATCTAGTACTTTTCTCAGTTTGTACTTCTCGTTGGCATAATTGAGATTGCAATTTTTGTTTTATATGAAACTCTTAGTGCTGAACTTGATGGTTGGTTCCATATATGGTTGTCCTCGGATTTCGAATTGCCTCTATTTAAATATAGGACACAATGAAAACAAACAAGGTTGCTTATACTTCTAAGAGGGACGCTGTGAATTTCATTCAACCAAGCTCTTTGAGGGAAAATGTGAGTAGGCAATTCTTTTCAAGTATATCTAGTTCTGGTGGTGATATCTCTCATCGCAGCTCGGATAGTGGAGTTCCATCTTGAAAATGTGCCTAGCTGGGTACAAAAAGATGATTGGGAATGGTTGGTAAAAGAGCATTACCTAACTGAAGAGTTTAAGGTAAACATTTTTACTTCCTTCAATTAGTTATATAATTATTATGGCTAGTTCGTGATGCCTCAACATTTTATTTGTAGTAAATAAGTGTAAGAAACGCAAATAATAGAGTCCAAGGATCAATGCCTTGTCTTCTTGGAAGCAAGTCAATCGCAGAGTTTACATATGAGAAGGTATTAGTTGTTTGAGATTGATGTCAGGCATGTTTTTCCCTCTGTTTTGTTCTCTTTTCTGAATTAGTTTCCTCTCTTTTCTTCTACTTTGGTAATTGTTAGGTTTGGTAGTTTGAATTGTGGGTTGTATAAGTGGTTATGGTGCATATCTTAACTATACCTCATTTGATTTGTTTAGATAGACGAAGAAGGGAATGTTCCAAGTTTCACAACCATGTTCTCGCTCTCTCTCTCACGTCCAAAAGGAGGAGCAATCGATCCTAAATGTGCTGGAAAAGAGGTATGTTAAATTTCATTTATCTATCTACACAATCTGATATTGTATATACTAAACTAATTATAAGACTTTATACTCCTCAATAGGCAGAAATTAATAAAATTGCACAAGACAATCCAGGAAAGGATGCCTTGGAGCTTGTGGAGAAATGTTTTGGGCCACAAAATCATGGTAATGTGCTCGGATTTGGAGGTGGGGTAATGAATAAAGACTTGAGAGATTCAAGAAGGGAAACAACTATAGAGGTTGAAGCTCGACTACAGCGAAGTGAAGAAGAAAAATCTGCTTTAGAAGCAAAAAATGCAGCCCTTGAAGCTGAAAAGTTGGCTTTTGCAGTTGAGAAGGAAGGACTACAAAATCGTGTAGTTAATATGGAGGTCAACTGTATGCTCGAGATTAACTGCTTGAGAGAAATGATTTTACTCCAACAAATTACTCAAGGAGTTCCTCTGGCCACCCAGAATCAACCCATTTAATCAGGTTTTGTTCTGTTTTCTCATCTAATCTTAGGATGTTCTCTTTCAAATTTAAACATTTTCAAGCCTTTTAGTGATGAGTTGTGTGCGTTGACAGCACTATATAATGATTGTGAGATTCCCCAGTAGAAGCAGGCTGGCTTAGCGCCCTAGTTGCTCTCTGCTTGCTGCATGCGTTTATGCTAGCTAGCTGCTGCTGCAAGCTCATTAGATTTTTTGCCTATAATCCTTTCATTTGCAGTAGCAGTGTATATACTTTCAAGTTTTAAACCTTTTCAAGCTTTGAGTGACATGTTCAAGGTGACATACTCTCAGAATGATGAATAGAATTTGTCAATTTGTTGATTGTTATACTAGTAGCAGTTGAATCTCCTAGTAGGGGGATTTTGATTTTATTAGGCATGTCTTTCCATTGAAAGAATTCGTTGGCATTAGGCAAAATTATTTGCCCATAACTTGAACTATTTATTTTCTCTCTAGCATAAGTATGAGAGCTAATATTGGATTGTCTTTTGTGAACAGGTGCTTATATGTTATTGGATTGAATGGACAAGGCGGCATTGACATTGTGTAAATTTGATGTGTTTTGAACTTTTAGCTAGCTAGTTTCTCATGTCCATGATTTTGTACCAATTAAGAATACTTTTGGTGAGAAGTTAATATTGTTATCTTATTATCAAAGTGTATATGTTTAACTTTGTAGAGATGATCACTGTTTGTAAGTAGGCAAACTTATCGGTTATTAATATATGAATATTTTTAGTCATTATTGTTCGAAGCTTAATACATACAGAAAATAGCTGTAACACCTTAGAAAAATCCCACATCGACAAAGCACGGGAGAGATCCATGGTTCATAAGTAGGAAACCGGCCTTAACTGACAAGACGCGTTTTGGGGTATAATGGAGGAGTTCTTGTGAGAACTCCGAAGTTAAACGTGCTCAGTGTGGAGTACAACAAGGATGGGTGACCTTATGGGAAGTCACCCTGAATTACACCCCAAGTTGAAATCCGTGCGGGTGTAGAGGCCCAAAGCGGACAGTATCTTGTCGGAAAAAGGTTCGGGATGTTACAATAGCATTGTTGGCAAAAAAAAATAATAATAATAATAAAAAACTCCAGCGTGAAGGTTGGTATTATTTATCAATAATTAGTGGAGTGGTAATTTGGTCACTTATAATTACCGGATTCCATCCAGAATACATATAAATAACGAGGGTGAGAAAAGTGCTTGTTCACATATACTGACCGGGCTCTCTGTCGGCATTGCTGCAAGACCAGTTGTCAAAAAATCACTTGCAACGACCGGAAGTCTCTCCTCTCGGCAAAGATTTTAACGACAGGTAAAAAATTTACTGTCGTTATAGAGTTTTACCGGCAGCAGCTATAATGAGGGGCTGGACCCGGTCGTTAATAACTTTTGCCGACCGGATTTGAACTATTAACGACCGGATTGCACCCTCATTAAAACCTCTTTTTTTTGTAGTGTCGTCTAAGCTCGCCTAGGAACAAGTCGGAAGGAAAACACTTCGCCTTGACAAAAAGCTAAGGAGAAGGCGTCACAATCACATTGTGGCTTTGGTGGCCTCTGGCCAGCTTTGAGTCGTGTCTCAAAATGATGTCATGATGTCTTTTTTCTATCTTTTGATATGCTAGAATATAGTTAGAGACGACAATATTTACAGAAGCGTCCTCTTTCTTTTTGCGCTTCTTCGTCTCAATATGTTTTGCTATATTCAAGCTTCTTCTTCCTTACTCATTTCTCCACACTATGTTTTATATTTTACCATGAGTGTTGATGCAAGTTTAGAAATGAATGGTAGATGCGATAGTATTTGGTTCATAAACTTGTGATTCTAGACAAGTATGAGATATTATGTTACGTTTACATCTAGGAGTTGTTTGCTTGATGGATTTGGTGATGGACTTGGTAATAAATTTGGATCCATCATTGACTTTGTTCAAAATTCAATGTTTGCTTCATGTATTTTGGAGCAAAAAATCCGTGGGTCCCACGAATTTTAAGGGTCCAAATCCGTGGACCCCACGGACTTGAAAGTTCCACCACTTTAGGTGGGAATTGATCATGGACTTTGAAGTCCATCGCCTATGTTTGGCCCGACTTTTAGAAGTGCTTTTCGGCTTCAAAAGCTGAAGCAGGGTCAAACACCTTTAAAAGTTCGGCTTTTGAAAAGCCGAAAAGTGCTTTTATATAACATAAAAGCAGAAGTTGCGATTTGGAGCTTCCGCGAAAAGCTATTTTGAAAATACAAGATTATCCTTACCATATTTTAATTTTATTTCAGAAAAGATAATTTTCTTTCATTTATATATTTTTAAAAAATAAAATATAATATAAAATCGTGTTATTTAATATAAAAGAAATCTAACAAGATTCATTTTGACTATTTTATTGTTTAGAATTATTATTCATAGTTTATATTATAAGTCCTTTATAGTCATTTTACACAACTTCTCATATCAAAAAACACTTTTAATAAATTTTCAACCAAACACTCAACTGTTTTTTTTAAGTACTTCTCTAAAAGCTCAAGCGAGAAGCTGCTTCTGAAAAAACTACAGCAAGGTCAAACTGAGCCATCATTTAAGACCAAACTACTCCTCCTATTTGATTTCTCTTCTCGTAAATGAGGGCAATAAAGGTAAATTTCACTTCATATATACAAATCTAATTAATCAATTCCTTCATGAAATCTATGAAATAAATAATAGTATTTTTCAAGTCCATAATGGATCCAAAACCCGTATATATCCATAGTTTTACAAAACACAAATTATACGAAAATCTTCATTTTTCAAATATACGAAGCAATTAACCCGCTAACGCTTAGACACACCTACACAACGCCTAGACATACTGGTTGTCATTTGGGATGCCCTTTTCCTCCATCTGGTAATGTACTCAAGAGAAGGACTCGGTTAGGTTGCAACTTGTCGCAAGGAAGAGCCTTGAACCTTGGGGAAAACACCAAAAAAAAAAGCTCTGGAAAAGGTGCATTGGTGATGACGGTTCAACCGGTTAACCTAACCACTACACATTTATTGGAACGGTCTAGTTCAGAAGAACTGGTAATTGATTGACAATACCAACATCACCAAAACTGAAAGCTTCCTTTGAAGCTTCAAAAGATCAATCAATAAGACAATGGATCCTTGAATAAGCTATCCAGAGAACTGGAGATCCAGATTCAACTATACCAACATCACCAAAACTGAGTTATGAATCAATTGCCCTCACGGTCCTTTTACTTGCTCAAAGTGAGACATGGACATCAACAGTGGAATTGGTCAATATGATATCTTTCGTGTTATCGGGTGCCTTAGGGTGATTAGGGCATTCTATTCTTATTCTGACATGCAGTGGTTTCACAAAGACGAGGTCTCTCAAATCCTTTCCTGATCTTGACAAGAGCTGAATGCATGAATCTCTTGTGGTTAAGCCTTGACTACCCCATTTTAGGATATCAGCTATCCTCGCTGCATGTTTATCCTGATTATCTTCTTCATCTACATTCGCATCTTTTCTGAGTCTCAGATACAGTGGTGCATATATGATCACCTGGAAATCAAAAGTGTGACCATTAAGCTTCAGGCAGAAAAGTTAGGCATCCTGGTGTAGTGTTCATATCATAGTAGGACAAGGAATATTTAGTTACTAATGACAGTGTCGTAGAAATTCATTAACCTAAAGGATTTTGCCATTTGGTTGAGACGGATTTTAAGTGGGTTCGGTTGGTATTTGGATGTAGAAACAATAAGGTAGTTACCTCACTCAAGTCAGGGCTCGTATTAACTGCACAATGAATCCGAACTTTGTCGTCCTCAAAATTCTCAGTGTCTGCAATTGTGCTATCATCATCTTCCACAATTGTCTCTGATTCAGCAGCCGATGAAAATGCCAGATTACCGACTTCATCATACCACTTCTGGGCAACACCAACCTGTATGCAAACCATAAAAGCAGGAACTTCTAAGAGACCTAGTATAAAAGGAACACCAAAGGAATGAGATGAGGAAAGAAGACAACAGATAAGGACAATCAAACTTTTCCGAAGATTCCAGTTCAGCGTTTGTTCCTGAGACTTCAGTAGCAGCTCCTCTTGCCTGACGCCAGATACATCCCTCATGCAATGGTTCAACCAGTTCAGTATCTATTGGAATGTCGACCTTTATATCTACGTCTGTCCTGCCTGGTACACAGAAAAAAACATGCAAGCACAACATCCACTTAATTAGATATATTGTATGATATCATTTCAGAACAAAGAAATATATATTAATCAATGGTAAGTACATAAACCTGGCAATTGGTTGAAGTGTTGAAGATGATCAGTCCACAACTCATGAGTTGGAGAACTGCAAATTAGCCAGAAAATAAGCATCGTCAGCAGGTAAAGAGTGAGCAGTTTTTTTCTTCATTAATGGTATTTAAATAAATGCTCTAGTGTAATAAGAGCATTCAGTGTCTCCATACTTACAGGGAATATACCCTCTCTAGTGGGAAGGAGCACCAGTAGGGTAGTCCAAGGATCCTGTAATTCACCAACTGAAACATGGAGCAGGCCCTAGTTTCTCTATTCATTTTCACCACCTTCTGTGCAGCTTCAGTCAAAATAGGGGAAGAAATTTTGAAAGACCACAACGGCATAAAACAAGATAGGAGTAACGTACGAATAGCAGCTTACTTGTATCACAATCAAACACGTGGCCGTTGAAAGCTGTAAGTGATGATATGAGGGTAGCATAAGAGGTATCTTTACTTGACAAGTAAGTACCAGCCTGCTATTCCAACCAATCACTTGGCATTTCCTTCAAGAGAGATAATTTATCTGTGATCAAATTTCCACAGGTATCTCGAATCTTTTGGAATCCTTCAGACACACAAGAAGTTAATGTTAGACAAACATACTAAATACAGAACAACTAAGCTAGGGTAAGGTTTTCAAACCTTTGATAACATATTTTATCTCTCCAGTGGTCAAATCCATTACCCATAGTGTCTCAAAGCTGCTCATTAGAAACAAAAACAAAACTTTTTTTTATGTTCTTCTGAGACATAATTAAAGCAAGCATCTGAAATTAAGATCATAAAGTAGAAACGTTGGCGCCAAACTTAAGAAGACTAGGTAGTTGGTACATATATGAAGATATCTACCTCCGGTTAATGATTAAGCAGTGATCCTCCTCTTCTGACTTCAATAGATGCCAAGGAAACAGTAAAGACTGGGGATCAAACTCTTCGGATTTAGCTTCAACAGCAGCAATTCCAAAGCCCAGTTTACTTGAGATCTTTGTCCATAGACTTTCATTTTCTACAGTAGCACTAGAAGAAGGATATAACGTCTCTAGAACCCGTCTCTCCAAGTCAGCTCTCCTGACTGCATGGTTCTTCGCAAACAAAATACACAAACAACGATAAATTATATAAGTAGATATATATTAGGGTTATAGGTATAATATGCCCCTATACTATGATGTTTTATCAAACATGCCCCTTTACTATTTTTTACATCAAACATGCACTTTTGTTAAAATTTTCATCTAAAAACCGTCAACCACCTTTGGTTTGGGCGACTCAAATGTCTAAAATATCCCTAATCATTTCACTTTAGAATTTTTTTTTGTTCTTTTGTATAGCCAAATAATTCAAATAATTTCACTTTGAAGAGACCCAAAGAAATAAACGGGGAAAAAACTGATATTTTCTCTCACATTTGCCGATGTCGGGTCGTCTAAATCTCATTTCAACCATGATAGACGATTTTTTCAATGGAAATTTTAGCAGAAGGGCATGTTTGATAATTTTGTCAAAGTACAGGGACATATTTGATGTAAAAAATAGTAGAGGGGCATGTTTGATAAAACGTTATAGTAGAGGGGCATATTATACCTATAACCCTATATATTAACACATTGAAACTTACAAAATTGATATTCTGACGAATTCCAATTCCAAAAGAGACCTCATGCATACCTCTGAGTCTACGAAATACAGACAATCCTCAGTGTCATCGTAAAAGGATGCTCCAGGGTGCAATAGCTTGGCACACTCAAAGTCTCCATCCTCAAAACCTGGAGAAGAACCAATCTGACACATAAAACTCGTAAGTTAAAAAATTTTATCACTTTTCTCAGGTGTTAAAAGCAAAACACAACAGAATTGAGAAAGTAAATAGGCACCAAAAAATATAAACTAGTATGAAGGTGATTTTAGAGTATCAATTATTCAACTATGACACTGAGGATACAGTGTTGAGGATACGGTGGAGGACATCACATGACACATAAACCAAATATATCGAAGTTATTAAAATTAATTACTTACACAGTCAAGAATACTTCCATTACCATCAGAAATGATGATACGGTGATGATTGGTGTCAGAAAAGAATAGCCGACTGCCACTTATATCTGCAGATATACAGCCTGCAGAAAACCGGGAGGGAAACTTGTTGAGCAAACATGAACAACTTCTCTTAAAATTTTATATTAACAAAGTTATCTACTATAATTTATACGCATCTTGTTGAACATAAGGTTCACCAACTATGCAGTCTGCCAAGACTACATGCTGAGAACATGCAGTAGGACCAAAAATCTTAGGCAAACCATCTAGATCGCAGGGATACTTTACCTGGGAAATAGAGAAGCAAGTTCTGAATAGGTGAAACAATGTATGGTTCCTTCACAGCATCAGCTAGTTTTGTCCAAGTGCTTTTCAAATAAGCCATACTGGAGTTTCCATCACCACGATTTTGTTTTTGTAGTACTTGCATCTCCTCTACCACTGGAAAAGGTTCGAAAAGACAAAACGAATATAAAATTAATCATATGATTATTTGTAGGAGTTTCTATCAATTTGACGTAGCTCTTCAGTTGCCCCCTAACGGTATGCAACAAACTGTACCCATTTCAAAGAATGATACTTCTAAGAGGGGAATAGTAATGACAAACAGGTCATGCTAGAAGGCAAGCTTTTATCTAAATGCACATAATGTGAGAATGACAAAGAAATCAAACTTCAACTAACCAAGACAAAGACACCGCAATACCTGCATAAAGTGTTCCAATATCCAGATCCTTCTCATGCTGAACTAGAGGATTCTCAGAGTCTCTGAACATAATGTAGCAGGCTCCATTTTCCATCTAAATAAAACGGAACATTCTTTTAATACTATTTAGAGATTAGCAAAAATCGGCCTATGGCATTTTCCTTTCACTCCACTAAAGCACAAAGTATTTCTTCCAAATGCATTAGTGGAGTTCCTTTCAAACCACACCATTTTTACCAGCACTGAGACTTGCCCAATCCCATATTTAGACATGACAGTCAAAGGCAAAACAACCATTCTTAGCTTTACTGACAGTGAATCCTAGGGTGGTTTTGAGAAGCTCAAGCTATAGTAACACTATAGTTCACAGCTGTTCTATGATGAACTTTATTACCTTACCTCTGTGAAGTTCTTGTTTGACAACAGAATGGGGAAGGTGATGTATTCTTTCATTATCAAGTCAATAACATGATCTCGATCAGCAGCGAAGCTAGCAGAACTCCCGGTATGAAGGCCCAAAACACAAAGTTCGGAGAATCTGGAACATAGAAGGGAGAAGATCCTCAAATTGAACAAACCTAACAATTCAACTATTTAGATCAATACTGAAAGAAACACAAGTGGAAATTGGAAACTCGATCTCTACCTCTGCTTAAGCAACTTCACTTTTTCAAGCATGGCAGTTATTTCAGAATCCTGTAAGAACTGTCTAACGAGGATTAAAAATGTCCCATTTCTCTTCAAGAAGGGTTTATCTCCATAATATACATTTAACAAAACATGATTTAGGCCTACAAAATCCATTTTGAAACCATATCAATGACATCATCTATCAACTAGCCAAGTGGACCTGAATCCATGCGTAAAACTAAAACTTGCACATAAGCAATCTAAACTTGGGCAACAACCTTCATGCTGCAGGGGCAGGAATACTAGTAGATGCTTCTTCTGATGTTGTCGAGTACCTGGAGATCACTGCCATTCATAAGTCAGGCAAAGTACGTAAAGAAAACACAGTGGTCTCAAACAAAAGAGCTTACAGAATGTCCCATTCCGCTGAGCAATTACCTCTGAGAATAAGAGAAGTTCCACCAAAGTATTCCTGGGTAGTTGGTGGTTCTAAGAAATGAACGAAATGGGGCGACTGAAGTGGAGACAGAGTAACCTCTTCTGGCTTCTCCGCTCTGCCCTAAGTATATTCCTAGCAACAAAAGTTACGTAATTGAAGTTCATAAATTTGACCAGTAGGGATAGCTATCGAAACAACAAAGGAATTCCACCAAGGAAAAATGGGCTAACCAGAAGAAATGCGCCGGGAAAACCTTAAAAGTTGTCTCAAGCTTCTACATATCTGCATCATTTCGCCTTCTTTTGGTTTCGTTCCGCTCGTGTTCTTCCCGCGTCAGCCAGATAGTTACTTAGTAGAGAGCTTGAGATGGAGTTAGGATGCGAAACTGAAAGGCGACAAGGGTTTGACGAAGAAGAAGCATTGGCGGGGATGGAAGGGCGAGTTCTTAGAGAGTCGCGGCGGCGTGCGATGGCGGCCGGAAAACGTGTTTAGTTATTTCCTACTGTTTTCTGGTAATTGATTATCACAATTTTTTCATTGAGTATCATACAATTCTAATCATAATTATAATTTTTAATATGAATGAAATTGTTTTCAAAGTACTAATAAACACAATACAAGTATAACATCATATGTCGAATAAGTTCCTTTATTGCCCTCATTGCACTTCATTGACATTCTCTTTCATGCAATAATCTTGATACTCTTCAAATAAAGTATCGTAATTGAAGTATTGTTTTCCACCTCATTACCATCCATTGCTTATCAAACTACAATTCAAACAACAAAGGCATCTACATATCCCAACCAAACCGTTTTCCACCTCATTACCATCCATTGCTTATCAAACTACAATTCAAACAACAAAGGCATCTACATATCCCAACCAAACCCACCGCCCAAAAAAGGACTCCAGATACACCAATCACCCAGGCTGATCTAAACCCACCCTTCCCATTAGTCACAGAAACTGCTCTAAGTGCCAAAATCACCACTTACTTTCAGTTGCTCATCAGTAGTCGGATCTTAGTCCTCAAATCGACAGTTATTGCTCTAAGTGGATTTGTAACAACTCAACTAATTAACAAGAAACAACCTCAGATCACACAGTTCATCAATTTCCAAACAGATTACAAACAAACAAAAGGGCATACAATTCACAAAAGGGCAAACAAATTGCCAGTTCTAACACGTCTTTCACACACTTCACCGCTAGCTAATTAAACCACCACAATCAGCAAATTTGACGAACGCATGAGGAGATAATTGACATCCGAGTTAGCTAATTAAACCACCAAAAACTTCAACGATGGCCCAAAGCTTGGTGGATGACATCAGAATCAGTTATCATATCATAGACACATGAATCAAACATGGAAATGGGTAGACTTTCAAGAGAACCAAACAAGAGACCTAGTGGCTGGCCATTGCAAGGTTAGTCCATTCGTTGCTATCTTCACTATTGAACGCTTTGACTTCATTTCTTTCATTCTTTTAATTAAATTTCTGCTTCTGACTATAGTTTGCTAGTTATCAGTGTTCTGTTACCTTCGAATCTTTTTTTTCTTAATGAATTACTGCTAAGTTTTATTCATCGAAAGGGAGTTCATCCATAAGTAATGGACTTGCTCCAATGATAAAGTACAATAAAGGTGGCTGAAGGTACATATGCAAACACTAGAAACAAGTTGTTATGGTGGCTCAAATGGGTTTTGGCTTGTGCCATACAACATCAAATGTAGGGATTGAAGTTCTTGTTGAAATAGTTTGTTGCTACTATCCAACCATGAGCAAATGATGTAGTTGATTATGTTGGATAGAGTGGCGCTGCTTGTGTAGTGATCACGACTCACGAGAAAGTCTAGCATTCCACTCAGTCCATAATAACCAAAACACTGCACGTGGAAGTGGCCAGAAAGCATTTGACAATCTGCAACCTTTAGTGACGTTTGACCATTGAACTAGTAGCTCGCTGCAACTACGAGGTAGAGGGCCAGCAAGATTGAGTCGAAAGAGAGAGAAGTTCCGTACCCTGGAAGAGTAGCTGCAGGGGAGAAGTAAGTGGTCTGCTGTCTCTTCTGAAGCAAATCAAAGACAACAATGATTGAGGAGAATCCACCCTCGTAATCGAAATTGAACGGTTGTCAGGATTTTTCTCCGAAAACCAACCAACTGAAAATTGTGACTTTGGTGGGTACCATCGGCTGCCAATGGATTTTGCTGGGAATGACGATCCAAGGCCAGGAAAGAGATCTCGAGTCAATTCCTTATAGCAGAGGCTGAGAAGGCATCCTCCTACAAAGTGGATTACCTTCGAATCGTATTTGCCTTTGTAATATTGGCTTCTAACTGAATGTTCCTTTTTTTTCCATTGAAAGTGATTTCAGAGAGGGAATTATATTTTCCATTTTGATTATCTTTCCTGTGAAATTGAACTATGGAGGCGTTAAGCTGTTGAGATTAATTAGGTTTCTCGGGAGCTCCATGTTTAGTTTTTTTTTTGTGGATATACTTGTGATTTATTAGGGTTGGCAGTGTTATAATTGTGCTTAATGATGTTTTGCAGAGGACAGGCTTCGGTGAAGCTGTGATCTTTTGCCCATTAATCCGGCAATGGCAGATTCAGGAGAATCTCAACAGCCTGAACAAGGTATTGCTGCTCACTCTTGAACCGTAGTTTCTGCTTTGATTTGCTTTGTTCACATTTTCTTGGGTTCTTATGATACATCTTTTCGCCTTCTGCTGTTCTGCAGTATGCAGCTTTTTCAGAAAGCCAACTAAGGGGAAGAACATCAGGAAGAGAGCAGTAGAAGACGATGATGCCGAGGATCCAAAAACCGACAGCTCTTTCTTAAACAATCAGAAGAAGGTGCCAAAGTCTGATAACAAGCTATACTTCTCGAGAGGACCTTCCAAGAGCTCAAAGCCATCTGATTCCAACTCGGACAACAATGAGAAATCCATCTTTCAGTTTCAGTCTTCAAAGGAAATTCAGGTACAAAATGACAGTAGGGCAACAGCAACTCTGGAAACCGAGACAGACTTTGGAAGAGATGCAAGGGCAATACGTGAAAGAGCTCTTAAGAAAGCAGAGGAGGATCCGAAGGGTAACAAACAGATTTCTTCAGGCGGCAATGAGAAGCTGTACAAAGGAATTCATGGGTATATAGATCACAAAGCTGGATTTAGAAGAGAGCTAACAATAGCAAGTGAGAAAGCTGGTGGATCACATGGGCCACTTAGGGCATCTGCACACATCAGGGTCTCAGCAAGGTTTGATTATCAGCCGGATATATGTAAAGATTACAAAGAGACCGGTTACCGTGGTTATGGAGATTCTTGCAAGTTTATGCATGATCGAGGGGATTACAAGTCTGGATGGCAAATGGAGAAGTGGGATGAGGCAGAGAAGGCAAGGAAGAGGAAATTAGCTATGGGTGCGTTGGCCAAGGAGGAAGGTGAATTTGATGAAGCCAATGATGATGACGACGATGATGACGAGGATGCGCTGCCATTTGCATGTTTCATTTGTAGGGAGCCTTTTGAAGATCCTGTTGTGACCAAGTGCAAGCATTAATTCTGTGAACATTGTGCTCTAAAGGTACCTACCTACTCATCTCTTAGAAATTTAGAATCATGATCATCAATTCTTTTGCCAAGTTCTATGTTTAGCTTGCAATTCTGTAACGTGAGTAACATTCACTTATTGTGTTTTCTTCTGTCTTTTTCTTGCAGCATCATTCCAAGAACAAGAAATGCTTCGTCTGCAACAAGCCGACGCTGGGTATTTTCAACACTGCTCATGAAATACGCAAGAGGATGGCAGAGGTGAACAAATGATCATGCTGGCTTGCTGCAGATGCTGTATCGGCTGATCACTTTTTGAGTCCCTGACACGGGCTGTTGCATCTTCCCGGCTCATGACACTTCGAGCATTTTCATTTTAAGAGAGTTATTAGTGATCTAGTATGACACCATCGCATTGCGAGTATACCATGTAATCAAAAAGTTGATCTGCAGGCGTCTGGAGTCTTGATTTGCTTGTATTTTGTAGACAGTTCTTTTCATGTCTACACTGATACGATTGCGAATTTCATCCTCCAATTAAATTTCAACCAAATAGGTGCATGAAAGATCTTAAGGGGTTGTTTGGATTAGGAAATGTGGGTAGGGATTTTGCCACAATTTCTTGTCATTAGGGATTTTGTCACAATTCTTTGTTTGGATAGGAAAATGAAAATGAGGGATTTGAGTCACTAGGAATTTCGAAAATCCTATCATTAGAGAATTTAAAATAGCTGATGGACCTCAGATTTTTTGAAATCTCTTGCCTATTTTTTCCAACCTTCCTAATTTATCCCTCCTTATTTTTTGGTATTACTTTCTTACCCTCACTCTTTATTCAACGACCCACCACTTCCAATTGTCTAGAACCAGAAGTTTGCACAGGCCTACCATACTTTGTGCTTTAATTAACTGTTAATATTGGGGGTCGTGGAGATTCGAACACACGACCACTTGGTCAAACTAGCTCTGATACCATGTCAAAACCAATTGCTCCCAATAACTCGAGTTGTTGGGAGAAAGTTCTGTTGGATCTTATACCACTCTCTAACACCAATCTCTCTTTCCCATCTACATCTCTTTCTTCCCTCCCGATACGAGAAGCTGCAAGCAGAGTTTCAACCTCACATCATTGGCGACTGTAGCGGAGATAAACCTAGCGACGTCGGCAACTGCAGCGGAGTTTTACCAGCTCCGATCTACACCGACGTTGACGGTCGTCTTGAAGTCCGTCCGATCTCCATTTTCGATCTCGCCAGCTTTGCGTGGGATTTGTGCTTCGGACTCAACCAACTGAAGCTTGGAATCAGTTTAGGACTGATTTGGTCTCCGAGATGTGGCAAACTCGACCTGCTAGATTTCGAGCTTCGTCTTGAGTTTGATTCATTGTTGTTTGGCTGTATTCATTAAATATTGAGGACTTGTTCAGTTGTAATGGTTAATACATGTTCAGTTGTAATTCAAGGTAGTTGTTTTGACAAGTAGACAAAATTGGGATCCCCTCTTTGCCCCTCCTTTTTTGTGTTAGTGTTTTCACTTCTGAAATATTACTACTACTCAGTTTTGGATTGTGAAAGAAGTTGAAAGTTTTAGATGAATCCCATGAATTTATCTGAATATTGGATCATGGCATAATAGCTTTTCTGTGGTTTTAAACTTGCTGCTTAATTTGAATGGAGGCTGTGTTCGGCGCAGTTGGGTTGTTATTTAATGAATGCCTATTTGGTCGCAGACTCGCAGTGTTTGATCCGTCTATGGACCAACTTTTGCTTTTTGTCAATGATTCTCATGGCTAGTAGTAGTCTCAATGACTGATTTTTGATTTGCTGGGTGCAGACCTGTTAGTATGAGCAGCAAGTTCCTCTCGACATGATCGAAAAAAAAATTGGGACTTATCTAAGCTCGTACCAAGTACTAAGTATATTGTTTGCTGGCTTTAGTTGGGCATTAAGAAACACCTAGGTAAGCCACAAGGATAAGCTTATGCACACGCAGGGTAAGATATGTATGCAAATTGCAAAGCCCTATAAGCAGTGATCATTTGTTTCCCTCCTTTTCAATGTCCGTTTAAGATGCCTGCTTTATTGTAGTCTAGTTGAAGCTGATATTGATTTAGTTGTTTATCTTGTTTCCATTGGTAATGAATACAATGTTCTATTCATAGATTGGTTGTATTATGTGTGTTTAATGGTACTTATCGATAGCAGTACGAAACTAGAGTTGTTTATATTGTTCTCTTTGTACTTATCTAGGCTAAGACATGGATATCCTCTTTTGTATTGTTCTGTTTTGCAGCATGGGAAAGTGAAAGCAACGTGATGAAGATATGGATGGTGCTTGCTCTAAGAAATATACGTACTGGAAAGAGGAACTAGGAAAGCCATTTGTTGACTGTATTCTGGAGCTAGTAGAGAAGGGGTAGATCGTTGATGCCAACTGCAATAATGGGGCTTATAACCAGTTAAAGAAACTGTTGCAGGAAAGAGTGTCGGGGTGCAGGGTCAAGGCATATCCTAACATTGAAGGCAGGTTCAAAAAACTGAAAAAGAGATGGCATGCAATAACATTTATGAGGAAACAAAGTGGTTGGGGATGGGACGAGGTCAATAAATGCATTGTATGTCCCGAGGGATCTTGGGATGATTTTGCGAACGTAAATGATGACTTGATATATACACGTGTTTTTGTCCATCATTCCTATACCGTTTGAATCTCATCTCTCGTGTTTTAGGCCGATTTCACGCTAGGTTGTTCTTGTTTGTGATATTTCAGGTCTTAGCACGTGAAGGAAGGTTTGGGCATGAGTTCTGGGCCGATTGGACGAAGTTAGAACGTGGACGAAAAGCTGGGGAAACCACACGGCCAGACCTAAATGCCACACGGAAGTGTGACGTGGCCGTGTGGAACCCCTTTGCGCGGGCAAGCCACACTGGTCGTGTAAAGGATCCTTCGTGGCCCTGTGGAATTCCCAGGGAGCTCACACGGACAGGCCATAATTTCACAGGACCGTGCGGTTGTGGTCGTGCAGCGTACATGAAGTCAGGTTTGTCACATTCACTTCGTCTAAATTTCTTCCATGTCCCTTAGCCACAATGGAGTTTGAGTTTCGCCCTGATCTTTGTATAGTGGTGGGGTGGTTTATACCCTTGCTCCATTAATGGTTATTAGCTGCTTTTACTAAGAACTAGTTGCTTGAAGTTTTCATTTGGTTGTTCAGAGAAATGGTTCATGCAGTATGCTGGTTGCATTTAGGGCTTTACCATCTAGATTTCGATAGTTTGTTGATTTCAAATTGTTAGCTAAACGGTTCCTTCTTGTTCGACAGACTTTCGTTAGCTTCCTTGAACAAAAATGGCAGAAGAGGAAGATAAAGAAGGGGAAGAGACATGAGAGAAGAAGAAGAAGGCAGCTCAGACAGTCAGAAGCAGGAGCAGAGTGGGGAAGGCATAGTTTCCTTGCGGCTAGGGGCTCCAATCCTGGTAGTAGTTTTCATATAGGTAAAAATATATATTAGTGATAGACTAGGTGATTTAAATTAGAATACTAAGATTATTAGTACACATGTTTTCCATTAGTGTACGTACGACTAATTTGTTATTGTGTTTTCAACACAAGTTTAATAGTAAAAATTTTATTCTTTTCCCCAATTATTTTCAAAATAACAATTGAACCTAATTACAAGCTACCCTTATTCCCTCCATTCTATCATATCCATTGGTTTATTTGCTTCTCAAAGTTATTGATTTTACCGATTGCAACTGCAAGTGTTGAAATAACATTTTCAGTTTTGGTATACTTTAAGAACATGTTTCGAAATTGAATAAGCGATTAGTTCGTGAATGATTGTTTAGTAAGATAGAGATATTTGTTGAGCCCTGTAGACACACACCAAATATTAGTGTTTTGGTTGACAAATTTTTACATAAATTCTAAATGGGACGTGACAGCGCCATAATTTATGATTAGAAAACCAAAGTATCACAAGTGAGTGTTCTAAATATTGGAAATTTTCAATATAAACATACTAAAAACTTTGTTATGAATAAGAACACAAAATAATTAAAAGATCCAAAATGATTTAATCATATAAATAAGTTAATTAATATAAATTATAAAATAAATCTCTCCGGTCAACGGGTCGAGTAAGAAACTAGTTTACCATAGAAAAGTGAAACCTTTGTTTAAAGAAATGCGTTGAAAAATGATAAATAGGTAGATCTCTCAACAAAATTCCTCGATTTTAAAACCTAAACAAAAGTGAACTCTTTGTTTTAGAACAAGTTAACCCTCTCTGTTCCTTCGCCTATCTCTAGTGGCCATTTTCTCCCCATACCTCCCAAGCACATCAGCCAAATCAACCAATCCAACCTCCCTCAACTTCTTCGTCTTCTCCAAGAACAGAACAACTCCTTCCTCGTTGGAGAAGTAGTGGTGAAACTTGTTGTAATCAAACCTCGGAACTTCCATCCCGCCATTCAGTATCCTCTCAACATACTTGGTAGCTTCCAGCGACTTCCCAGCTTTCACCAACCCGCCAACGAAAATGGTGTCGAAGTTCACAGTGGAGTCGGGACCCTTCCGCCCTCTCTTCCCCAAGTGGCCTTGCAGCAGCATCACGTACGTATGCATTATGGGCTCGCAGCCTCTGTTTATCATCTCCCTGAAGACTTCTGTTGCTTCTCTGCGTCTTTTCGAGCTCAGCAGCCCTTTGATCAGTCCGTGGTAGATGGCTATGTCCGGTTTCTCGATCTGTTGCAGCACTCTCTGGGCCTCGTTCACTCGGCCTCTTGATGACATCCCGAAGAGAAGGGATCCCAACGTTGCGCAATCGGGTTGAATTCCTCTCTGCCGCATTTCGTCGAACAGTTGTTGTGCTTGGCTGAGCTTGCCCTTCTTGCAGAACCATGAAATGACGAGGTTGTAAGTCGAGAGTCCTAGTTCGTCCATCCTGTTAACTCGTATGGTTTGGAACACTTTCACGGCTTCAGTGTCCTCGTTCTTTTTGAAGAACGTCTTGATCATTTTCTCGAACACTTGGATCTCCGGATCGAACCCATCCTCCACCATTAAATTCCAGACCTTTGACGCTTCAATCATGTCGCCGATGTCGCAGAATCCTTTAATCAGGCACCCGTAAGTGAACCCATCTGGGGGAATGGTGTCGTTAAGCTTCAAAGTCACGTACTTGGCCTCCTCCATGAGCCCATCTCGACACAGAGCCTCCACGACCTTGTTCAACCTCCACAAGCTGTATTCAACCCCTGAATCATTCATCAGGTGGAAAAACTGCACGCACTTCTTCAGCTCCCTCGCGGAGGCCAGAGTTTTGAGAACAATCACGAACGTTCTGTCGCTCACCAACCCCAATTGGCCTGCCTGCTGAGCCGTTTCCCAGAGCAGATCCATGTTTCTCGCCTTGCCGTAGACATCGAGCATCTTATTGAAGGAGACGGAG